AAATCGATTTTTTTGGCCATTGTTCGTTATTTTTCCCCCGCTAATGTTATATTTATATTAAACCTTATTCATTTTTTGTTGCATTTGTTCTTAATTCATTAACATTAAATAATATTTAGCAACTTAAAAAAATATTTTAAAAATATATATCAATTTCAAAACTGAGTTGCTTCCCTTTTCTCAGGAAAATAAATTAAGTCCGGAAGCAGCGCTGCCGGAGGGAATGAGTTAATTTTGCGCAAGAAGTCTGCCTCAATCATCAGCAAAGATAAGGAATCAAGCCTTTCTTGTTTCATTGTCTATCTACTTGGATTGTTTGTACGTTTCAACTGAGAAAAAGAGCGCTCAGTTGAACAGTTCGTAACCATTAATGTTAAAAATATGCGCAAGGCGATTTCTACATTTGGAAAAGCACACTCGATGTTGTCTCTAACTATTACTTTGTAGAGTTCTGCATGACTGAACGTGATGTTCTCAGATTTTGATGCACGAAACTTGTGGCGAATGTATGAGTGAAACTGTTGAAGTTCAGTAAATAAATTATTGTTCAAATCTTCAGGATAAGGATTTATTAGTCCTTCCCAACACTGAGATGTTTGTGGTACATCGACCAAACAAGAAAATCGAACTGCTAGATCATTATATACCTGTCCTCGACTAATCATCTCTGTCTCAAGTTTGTCAACAATGGTGTAGAATGCAGATATACGAAATTTGTCTCTAGCATTCTGAGATACCTCAGGGGTATCACCATCAATTACCACTGTCTTTCGTTTAAGATTACGGGTCAAGTTGACTTATAATCCACACCTGGTGTTATTTCTTTTGCAGTTTCTTCAAATCTTTCAAATTCATTCCTAGATTCATGCAAGTGATCTGCTAGTGAAGAATACAAATCAGCACACGTTTTCAAGTTTTCTGGAGGATTTGTGGTGCCCCCCAAATGCTTGGTGCCATAGGCACATGCCTCGTTTGCCTAATGGTTAATCCAACACTGCCCCCACCCACTTTTTAAAAAAAAACAAATTTTATTTCCTATATCCTCCTCATCCTCATGTCCCTTAGTCATTTGACCGTTGGGGCGCCACAGATGACATGTGAACCATCCTCCTCCATTCCTCTCTTTCTTCAGCACTACGCACTGCATCGCCCAGTGTTAGTCCTGTCCACTCTTTGATGTTATCCTCCCACCTTTTTCTTCCTCTTCTTCTCCCTCCTCTTGTGGTGCCCTGCAATATTTCTTTGGCATGCCCTTGTTTCCTTGTTACGTGGCCGTACCATTGTAATTTGCGTTTTTTCACAGTCACCAGTAGGTCATCGTACTCCTCAGTTGCCTGACGAACCCTTTCTTTCACTGTATCATTGGTGATATGGTCCCTATAGCAGATGCCAAAAATGCTTCTGAAGCATCTCATCTCCATCGCCTTTATTACCTTTCAAGATCGGAAAATGGAGAGGACTAATGAGCGCATCAGCCTGATTTTGGTGCTGGGGGCTATATTTT